CTTATACACATCTCTGCACTACCGCGTCTCCCGCAAGGCGTTGCTGGACTGCGGAGGTGGGGGAGCTGCAGGAGGAACTGCGGTTGTCGCCATCTTGGTGCGCTGCCTGCGCTGCCCCCCCCGCGCCGCCCCCCGCCCCGCCGGCCCCGCGCGCAGCGAGCGTCGCAAAACTCCCGCGCCGAGCGGGGAGGGATGGGGGGGCTGCCGGGGAACCCCCCCTCCTCCTCCTCCTCCTCCTCCTTCTTCTCCTCCTCCTCTCCACAGCGGGAGCTGGGCCCTACCTGGGGGGCGAGGCCGGAGCAGCGCTCGGCTAGCTTAAACCGGGCTTTAGGGTTAAGCGCGGGGCCTGGCCCAGGCGGTACCGGTACCGCTGAGCCCCCACCGGGACACCGGGAAACCGTCGGGCGGTGCCGGTGGAAAAACCCGGCGGTGCTGCCGGAGGTGCTCGGCTCGTCCCAGCAGCCGGTTCCGAGGCTGGGAGCCCAACTTGGCTTAGGCCGGCGTTACATCTCAAGTCTAAAAGCGCTGCCCACGTAGGACGGACTTCGGGAAGAAGCGCAAAAAAATCCCGCAACAAACACCCGGCGCGACCTGTGGCTGATGTCACCAACAGAGCAAGAGGAAAACTTTCTATCAGCCAAATGCTTTTTTCTAAATTATTATTATTTTTTTTTCCCCCCTTACAGTTTCAGGATAAGCCAAAACTTCACATGGCCACACACATTTTCCATCACCAAGAGCTCCGCGTGACCTCATCCCCTGGACAATCTGGAAACAGTTCGATTTTACAGAAAGAAAAAAAAAAGTGCCAAAATGACATTTGTGTCACGTGAGCAGTGGGGTTCTCTGTCCCGTAGATCTCGGCACTCTACCGGCTTCTTCCTTCTAACCAGGACCTGGGCTATTAGATTTTTTTTTTCTCAAGATCCTTCCCCGGGACCTGGCAGGTCTCTCGGGGAGCAGTGGAGCTCCCCAACACCCAGCAGCTCCCCAAAGCGGTGCAAGTCTACTACAGAACACAGTTCTCAGCTACAACCCCATCGTACGGGCAATTTCTGGGTTTTTTTTTCCAGTAATACAGTGAATAAGAGAGTTCTAATAACTGACCAAGTTATCCCTCTTCATTCAAGAGAGAAAACTCCTTTATACACAGAATTTACACCTATAAAGTTACACCTCTAGCTTGTGCCTGCAATTTTAGGATCAACTTTTATTGTTAGATATAACAATATCTTATTCTCGGTAAGACTGTGCCTGTGTTGCTCTAAGAACAACTCAAAACATTGTATTAGGTTGATGTTTTAGAAAAAAATAAAATATATATATATATCCACCTTGCAGAGTGTCCTCTTCACAGAATTGTAAGTCTCTGTCCTCTGTGCAGAGCTGTAGGAGTTGTGTGCTGAGCAGACAAGCTCGCAGGACACGGCACTGTGCGGGAGAACTCATTTATCTTGCTTTGGAAATGACCCAGGGACTAAATCTGCTTCGGCTTTACGCTGCTGCCTTTGACGGGACTACCCTACTGTAACGCAAGGGCAGAGGCAACCGAAAAAATGTACCTAGCTCAAGCCCCAACAATCAAAGCACTTACACATAAATAAGCTGCTACAGAAAGCTGCAGATTCTGAGAAATCTTCAGTCCAAACGGGACCTTCCGTAGCTCGGTTCTCCACTAAGGCTTAAACTTCCAGCAGAAATAAGTGGCAATAAACACACTGAAAGATAGGAAAAAAATCCCCTGATAACAAACTGCTGAGGAACAGGATAGCATCTCCCCCATACGGAGTGTTCACGTGAGAGTTAGGTCCCATAACATAAGAAAAAAATCACTTTCTCTCGGAGGTAACAGTGCCGGGGGCTTCAAGCACACGGCGCTCGCAGGCAGAGAGGCAAACTGACCCCCCACCTCCAACTAGGGCACCCCCGAGCTGGCGGCGACGGGGGGCACACGGGGTCCCTCTGGGGCGGGCCACGCACCAGAAATACTTCAAGGACACTCCGGGGCCCCCAGGGTGTTATTACGGTTTGTAGAAGATCTTTAAGCAAGGCACCTAAAGAAATAAATAGGTCAACGCCCTCAGAGGTTGAACAGTGATAACAAATGTTAAAAAAAAAAAAATAAAAAATTAAAATCCTGATTGACCAAAGTGATCCTGGCACAGCCTGGGAGAGAGTTTACCCCGGGTAAGGGGCTCCGCACATTCCCTGTGCAGGGTGGGATTGTCACAGGCTGCTGCACCCACCCTCCCGCTCAGGTGGAAAGGGAATCCTCAGACACCGCTCACGCTCCGAGGTCGCAGGTATTTCCAAAATAATGCTGCCCTGTAAAGCCGGTCAGCATTGCAACTCCGCTTAATGCATTTGCTTGCCTGTAATCAGAACAGTAAAGCTAATAAAAACCATAAACGCCCTCCTTGGGTTAAAAGAGAACGAAATCACCCAGAACTCAGGCAACAGAACTAAGATAATTCTGTAATTCTGGATCTGGACAATTAAGTACCTGGCACTGTGCTGTCTCTTTAAGGAGCACACAGCTGCTCAGTACCAAAAAAAAAAAAAAAAAATCGCTTGATAAGGATACTGCTTTTTCCTTCTTTCATCGTTAGAGCCCTCACTTCTCCCTCCGCCTTCAGCGCAGTGACCTCGGCATCGCCTGGGCCGTGCCTGCGGGGACAGGGATGTGACACACGCCCGGAGTGAGAGCCGCCAGGTGACCGGTCCCGCTGCCAGGACAGACCCGCAAACCCCTGACGCTGAGCTCGGCTGGGAGCTGGAATGCCGCTGGAACGGGACCGGGTTGCTGTCTCTGAGCCCCCTCGGGTACCACGGCCGCCATCCTCCCGGTACAGAGCCCTGGGGATGCTGCAGCCAGCTCGGCAGCGCCCAGGAGCACCCAAACCCGCGGGGTGGGGGGATGCTCCGGCAGACACGGGACCGAGAGGCGAAACGCTCGGGGGGTGTGTGTGTGTGTGGTTTAGGATTGGAAGGGTTGGTTCTCCCAGCTAACAGACTCAGAGCAGGCAGGACCCCAGCTTCCAGGCTGAATCCAGCGAAGCGTTTCCCTACGGGCGAGCCAGCGGCGAGGAGGGACGCGGGACCGCGCTGCCGCTTTAAGAGGGCGCTGGGACAGACAGACGGGACAGACAGACGTCCACATCCGGTTCAGAGGTGGCCGAGCAGCCTGCGGGCACGGCAAGAAGCTCCTCGCCTGCTCCCAGGCACCCGCGAGGATGGTGCTGGTCTCCTTCCTCCAGCGATGCGTCCTGCTCCTCCTCTTGCCCGTCCACGTTCTCGCCTGCCTGGGCTTGTGGGACTCCTTCTACAAGAAAGTTTTCCCGTACATCATGGCCAAGGTGGCGTCCATCTACAACCAGAAGGTCTACAAGCAGAAACAAGAGCTCTTCAGCAACCTGAGACAATTCGCGAGTCCTTCGGGCCAGCTCACGCTGGTGGAGATCGGCACGGGCACTGGCACCAACTTCCAGTTCTACCCCCCAGGCTGCCGGCTGACCTGCACCGACCCCAATCCCAACTTCAGAAAGTTCCTCCTCAAGAGCCTCTCGGAGAATCAACACCTTCAGCTTGAACGTTCGGTGGTTGCTTCTGGCGAGGATCTGCACCAAATCCCGGACGGCGCCGCGGACGCGGTGGTGTGCACCTTGGTGCTGTGCTCGGTGACCGACGTCCCGCGGGTCCTGAGGGAGGTCCTGCGGGTGCTCAGGCTGGTAAGCTGGGGCAGCGTGAGGGCCACCATGAGGGCCACCTCGAGGGCCACCACGAGGGCCAGCGGGGCTCCCGTCCCTGTCCTGATAAGCCAAGCTGCGTGGACTGACCCACATTTAGGATAAACGCAATCGCCTGCGCCAGGCTAAGAAAGAGATTAAAATCAACCATCATATCCACTTATCCACTCACAAACAATTTTCTTTTGGGCTGCTTCACTTGTAGACAAAAGAACCAGCTCAGCCTGCTTCCCCCCCCCCTCCCTCCCCAGCATGCAGAAGCTCTGGGGCACCAGCGCAGTGGGGTGAGTGAGAGACATGGCTACTCAATCTGGGCAACCTGACGCTTGCAGCTGGGCAACCTGCAAAAACTCCCAAGGCCACAGCTGTTTCAGAAACAAAAAGGAAAGAAATAAAACCAAACGCCCCCCCAAACACAACCCAGGAGGCGCTGGGAGCGAGGAGGAGGAGCGGAGCCGTACTGGATAAACAAGATTAGTGCAGTACAGGGTGGAGAACGGGGAGGGAAAAGAAAGGAAAGTGCTTTGTAACACAGGTAGAGGATTAACAACAGTTTCAGTTTGTAGTTGCCCTGTGTATTCTCTAGCAGTTCTCTCTCTTTAAAACCTGTCCACCCAAGCAGGTATTTCCATTACAATCTAAGGTGACACTTGTAAAATCCCACATTTACATAATGCCCTTCCAATACTTTTTTTCCCACTTATCTCAGAATAACTGGGAAGAGTTTAAATGAAACTAAACCCGAACCCTAGCCACACAGATGAGCTAAACCAGAGCCTCCAGCCCTGCATGTGGCTGAAAACCTCATTAATTCCTCGAGGCGATCTTGCACGCTCTTACAAAGCCAAACTAGGGAACAAGGAGTAAGATCATACCCAACACACTCCGGTCAGGAGGGGAAGGAAACATCAGCTCTAAACCCCTGACTTCTTTGGCTCCACTGGAAAAGTTTCCCAGGAAAGGTTTGCTTACAATAGTAGATTCACTTTTTACCTGTTATTTATAAACACGGACGTGGAACAGATGTGGGCAAAAATACATTTAAACATTGGGGAGGGTTCGCAAGACTGACGCTGACAGAACTGTTCTGCACTAGGTATACTGGGTGTAGCCCGGGACACCAGACTTCTGCTCGCTGAGGCTGTCTCACATGTTTTATAAACATGAAGAAATAAATAAACTCTTGTCCCTGCTGGCAAATTGTTTAGTCACATTTGATGAGAAAAACTGAAACACAAGGAAGTTAGAAGTGGTTTGTCCCCAGATCATCCAAGGCAGAGACAAAAAAAACACCCAGTAACAACCATCTTCAACAAAAACTGAATGGGAGGCACTTTCAGAGACTTCAGGGTTCAAAACAAACATGACTCCAGCCAGGTGATAAAAGGCAGCGTGTTTACAAATACACAAAAGATAAAAGTCTGCCTCCAGAGGGGAACGGCCCTGAGACCTTTTAATTCTTTTTTTTTTTTTTTTATGGCACTGTTTTCCAGGGTGGAGCTTTCTACTTCTTGGAGCACGTGGCTGCAGATCATTCCAGCTGGACCTACTTTTGGCAAAAGGTTTGTGACCCAGCCTGGAAGTATTTTGGAGATGGGTGTTCCCTGAGCAGAGAGACACAGAAGGAGCTGGAGAAAATTAATTTCTCAGAACTGAATTTGAGGCGCATTCACGTCACACCTTACTGGATTCCTACTAGCCCCCATATCATTGGGTATGCAGTAAAATAAACGACCACAAACGAGCACGGTGGGACACGGGACCTCCCTTCAGTACTCCCGTCACGCTTTGCAGGAGGTTTTTCACCCTTCCAGTCAGCTCAAATCCAGCAGCTGGCCACCAAAATAAAAGTATGGAAAATGTCCTGAGCTCACGCAATCACATTCTTCCATTTCTGAGGCAGGTTTTCTGGGTAGAGCTCTGAACTAGAGCTGCTGCATAGGGACCAGGCAAGCTGGAAACAAAGCCTGCACAACACATTTCAGTCCAGTACAAAATAAAGGAGGCGTCAGCATCTTAGAGAGGTGAGACGGGGGAGAATGGAACAGAAGATACGTGTGAGCGAGTACAGAGGGCGAAGGTTTTTCTAGGGCCAGAGAATAATTCCCAACCTCTAACGCTTCCGATACAGGCCACATGCATAATAGATAGAGCATCAGGAGGAGCGTTTTCATTTCAGTCTTCCCATTATGATCTGTATTTACGAGCAGACGTTCCCTCGCCCGTGCCAGCAGAGCCCTCCCTGACAGGACTGCTCTTTCTTCGGGGAAGTGCTCCTTACAACACCGCTTCTCTAGGCGTAATTCTCACTGGCCAGGAGATGCTAACGCTGTCAGTGCAGATTTCACTTGAAACAGCCACCTACAAAGCAAAAAAAACCCCCAAACCCAGAACTTTTTTTACACGGGGAGAAAACGGGTATTTGTTAAATCGGGTGGTAGAAATCTCACCTCCGCTGTAAAACGCTGTTACTAGAGCAGCCGTGTCCTTAGAGCCCTTTTGTCACGCTCTACTAACTTGTTTTTCCTGTGCTTCAACGCTTCAATTTCTGCTCTCGCTCCAATCTAGATCACACCTTAAAGAGGCCTCTTCAAAAAGCCCGGACTTTCATTAGAAATGTTTTCCAGTTAAACTCCCCTAGGACACCAAGAGAAGGTTCTGCTCTCTCGGTCACTGTTCCACCTTTTCTATGATTTCCTGCAGTATAGGAGAAAAGTATTAAAACCTGGTAGAGATTTTATTTATAACAAAATAATGCATTAATGTCTCTTATTCTGTGCTCCATACACATCCAACTGGTCTACACTGAAAGCAATTCCCACAGTTCAAACCCGTTTCTCTAACGTGGTTGCCACAAGGTGGAGGTATGAAGGTACAACAGTTTGTTAACGAAGTGTCTAATAACGACACTGGATTTTCTATTTGCTTTATTACCACTAGAGGGAGGAGGTAACTCGTCGGACAGCGGGACTACTTATCACTCACCAGCAAGACAAAATTCCCCAATGCAATTCACGTTAGAACTGCCTTGATGAGGGCCTTTAAGGCCTCCGTTCCCTCCAGGAGGCTCACCTGGAGCACAGCAATTAAATGCTGGCGGTTAATCTACACACCTGCCAAGCCCTTCGAAAACGCACTGGCGACTGCAAAGTTGAAAACGTTTTACAGAAGGTGTTTAGCATAGAACAGGCTGTTCATGGTTGGCTCAAGCTTGTGGAGGCAGTAAACCCAAGCCATGCGCCATACGCAGCGATTACCCGATTAATAAGTTGTTTTATCTCTGGTCCACAATTCCCATCAGAGATCTGGAAGATAACTGAGAAAAGCAAGCTCATTCCCTGCCAAGGAGCCCGTACGCACACATTGTGCAACTGGGATAGAACTTACGTAGAACTTGTGTAGCTTTAGTAGCTAAACGTGCTGACGCCTCAGGCCACAAGCTGTGAACTTTCACCTCGTCGAGTAAAAGAATGTCCCAGAGCTGGTCCAAGCCAGGAGATAAAGCGGTCAGTCATCAGCGGAACCTTCAACCTTAGAGATAAGAAACTGTTTGCCTACAGACAATGGGAGGACCCCAGACCCTAATATTACTACTGGTCTGAACTGTCGCGTGAGGAGTGGGGAATTTAGACTGTAAGGGTATAATTGCCCTGGGATTTCGTTGTTCAAGGTCCCTCTTCAGAGGCATCCAGCTCAAACTGTAGCACTATTAATAAAAAGGACGGTATAGAAGAATCTCCTTTTGGCTTACTGATTCAGTGGAAACCTAGAGTGGAACCCTGTTCCGGTGGCTGGCACGTGTGATTTCCATAACACACACACCCCAAAGTATTTCAGGCATCCACAAAAAGTGGAAAGACTGCAAACTGCTGTTGCAGAGAGAGCACAGGGCAAGTAGCCGACTAGCTCATGCAGCTACTTACAACGGGGTGGTAAATTAACTCTTAAACAAACGCCTTTTAACTGAAATGTTAATCAGACTCCTAATGAAAAGCCTACAGCACGTGAAGAGTTCAGATTAAGTTCCCTCAGCTCACTAAAGACAACACAGAGTTGTTCTGAGAGATAGGACCTGCAATCGGACACCACACGTCTGCTGAGCACCAAATCAGGGCGACTGGTGACATTTTGCCAGCAGTTCCGTACAAAGTTGTGCTGCCCAGTTTGTGCTGATTACATAAGAGACTGGCAGCTCCTCTTCTGCCAGAGCTGGGATGCCCGGGTAACCGTCTGGTACGCAGTCCTGCTTCTCCCCTCCTGTGACGGGACTTGAAACTCAGCGGTAGGGAAAAGTCCACCAGCTCAACCCAGGGAGCTGAATGTACTTCAAGAGGAACACAGCGAGTACATGAATGCGGCTCTGTCTGAATTTCAATAGAAGAAGAACTAGTTCTGCTCAGTGCGGATCCTCTGCCCCACGCTGGAAATGATGGAGGCCAGCATCCTCTTCTGCCGTGCCTGCCTCGTGCTGCTTGCCACACCCATCTACCTGCTGTCGTTCCTGGGAATATGGCAACCTTTCTGTAAAAAGATTTTTTTTCCTTTCTTCTTAGAGCATTTTTCTGCAATTCATGGAAAGAAAACAAAGAAGCAGAAGCAGGAGCTATTTCGTAATCTCCCCGACTTCAAGAGCCCTTCGGGAGAGCTGAAGCTGCTGGAGATCGGGACCGGCTGCGGCGCCAACTTCCAGTTCTACCCACCGGGCTGCAGAGTCACGTGCACCGATATCAACCCCAACTTCCAGCAAGGCCTTTCGAGAAGCATGAACAAAAACCAGCACCTGCACTACGAGCGTTTCCTAGTAGCTGCAGGAGAAGACCTGCACGAGGTGCCCAGCGGGTCCGTGGATGTCGTCGTCTGCACCCTGGTCCTCTGCTCCGTGCACGACGTGAACGGGACCCTGAAGGAAGCCCTGCGAGTGCTCAGACCAGTGAGTATCTGAATAAAAACTTTTCTTATTACCTTTACCATCTGTTCCAGAGGCACTGCACCAACAGAAAAGTAGAAAGAAAAGTTGCTTTTGAGCTGGTTTATTTCCCCACAGCAGCAGTAGCACCACACGGGTCACTGTCCTATTCTTAAAAGTAGAACCCTAAAAGTAACTGAGCCTGCTAACTAGAACTACCACAAACTTTCCAAGTTATTACAGTACAGCGTTTAAAGCAGAACTAGTTCCTGTGGTATCCTCTCTCCCCACACACACCAGATTTTCTTTGGGTGGGAAGCTCTGATCGAGACTGAAAGTCTGCATTTTTAAATAAAACTGCTTTAGCCTCTTAGAAGTGGGGTTGATCTACCTGGATGACTAAAACACTCTAATTAAATGCCTTCGTTTCCTGTTGTATACTAATCAAGCTAAAGATTATTAAAAGCTGTTTTGTTGGGGTATTTTTGCAATAGACTTTCTTTAAAATGGCATTTTCAAGACAATCCTCTGGGTTGTCAAAACCTGATGAGTTTGAGTAGGATTTACACATTTCTCTTAGTTTCCTTTGAAAAAAAAAAAAAAGACATGCTAGCAACCATAATTGAAACAAAAAGACAACAAACCATCGCTATAATAAAAGAGGGATCAAATAAGTCCATCCTCCACGCTGTTTGAATAGGCATTTGGAATCTCTGCAAGTTTCCTGCTTAACATTAATTCAACTGACACCACAAAAGCAAAAAGCGGGCAGGGAAGGGGGGGAGAATACTGATGAGGGAGCTGAGTGCCCGGGCACTGGTGGGTGTCTGAGGGGAGGGGGGATGGCGGGGGGAGCACGGCGTGACCCCAGCACCTGCTGCGGCTCTGCAAGGAGATTTTTGTTTTCCCCAGGGAGGCGCTTTCTACTTCTTAGAGCACGTGGTGGCTGATCGTTCCAGCTGGAAGTATTTTTGGCAGCAGATCTGCTACCCGACTTGGAAACTCGTCTTTGATGGATGCTGCCTAACGAGAGAGATATGGAAGAATCTGGAACAGGCCAAATTCTCGGAGCTGAACTTGCACCACCTCAGCATAGCGCTGCCCTGGACGCCCATCCAGCCTCACATCGCGGGTTACGCCGTGAAGTAACTCCCTCCGCCCTGCCAGGCCTTCCCCCTGCCCACACCCCTCAAATTCCCTCCCATAACCCACACAAATAACGCGACAGGGGCTAGGCCAGACACCTGAACCTTGGGAACACCTGACGGCCTGTAAGAGAGTTTCGGATTCAAGCAGCAAAGAGAGGGACCGTTTCCTAAACATCTCTCGACGCCCTCGCGCTGCCGACTGCACCTCGGCCCGTGGAGGATCCCAGGAGGAGGCTGCAGAATGCAAAACAGCCTGGCAGGCAGATTTAAATTAAAAAAAAAAAAAAAAAAGGGATTAACACAAGGGAACTTCTGCCTACGTCTGGCTCTGGGCAAGGATTCCTTCAGGCACTCCCCGGCCGAGGGACCCGCTCCCCTCTCCCCACGGCCTCGCAGAAGGAGCAGACCCAAGCCCTCGGCACCCAACTTCTGCTCAGCCCCAGGTTCTTTCCCGACAAAAGCCGGGGCTCGGGGGGCAAGGGCCGGGCCCCTCCGCGCCTCCCCGCCCAAACCCCTTCCCAGAGGCTCCGGGTCACTCGGCCGCCAGCCTGCCCCCCGCGCCCTTCCCGCTGCTCTCCACCTCAGCATTAAAAGCCTCGTGTTTAACGTTACAAACGCGCCCGGGGAGTTTCTTTGAGCGGGGCCGCGGCCCA